CCGGCAGAGCATCTGGTGGATTCGAACCACGCACCTCTGGGATTGTAGTTGTAGCTTCTTGCCACTAGGCCACCAGAGCTCCCCTTTCATGATAATAGTCTTAAAAGGAGTAGAGACAATTAAATTTGCCACTACAACTCCAACTCTCCCACCCTCCCCCCAGTCTTTGCTACCCCTCACACATAGACTCACTGCATAGAGGGGAAGAGGAAGAGTTAAGTGAACTATGTTAATGATGAAATATGTTATGAAAAACACAAAGACAAAGGGGAGTAATTAAGATTTTGTCTTATTTATATTTGGAAGAGGTGTACTTTAGCAAAAATAAATGATGGGTAAAGTTAATACTTTACAACAGTTATAATTGATTTTTCCACTTCATTTGTGTTTTTTTTTTAAATTTCCATTCATTCATTGTTGCACTTTTCTCCCTGCCCACCCCTCCCCCCTCCTTTCAGTTCTTTAAAGAAGATACTAAGTTGCATAGGAGGAGGTTGCCTATCTTTCTCCTAGCTAGGAGATTCAGATTACCTGTCTTTGGTTCACAGTGCAACTCCTTACCCACTAGGCCACCAGAGCTCTATGACTATAACAGTATAAATGCAAATTATTGGGTCCCAAATAATTTCTGCTGTATCAGAGAATTGTTTTTGGAAACCAATATTTTGTTTCCTTACAATCCCTCCAGGGAATTTTTGATACAAGTTCAGATTTGAAAATCATTGGCCAAAACTAGCGATAGTTCATGGAACAGTTGAACGAAAGTTCATGGACTTTTAGAATAGACAGACTTGGATATAAATGCTCACTTTTCCCATTTCCCAGGTATGTGGCTGTCAGCCTGTCATCCAATTTCCATAAGTCTTTAGTTTTTATCTATGAAATGATAATAATGCTTCTTTTCCAGGCTTGTTGTGAAGATTAATTAATGTAATGTAGGTCAAGTGCATAATACTGTAACTGACAAATTGAAGTCTTTGAACAAGAAGTGTAGCCCATTAGAAGTTTTTGTGGTTTTTTTTTTTGTTTTGGTTTTTTTGTTTTTAAGATTTTTTTAAAATTTTTTATTATT